ATATAATGACCAGCCAATGCAGTGAGCATCCTCAGCACTGAGTGTAGTCTTGAAATATTTCCTATTAAAAGAAACCAGGGATTTTTGTAGAAATGGCTAATTTCAGAACTAGAGCAAGAAATATGTAAGATAAGCTATGGATATTTCCCATAGCAGAGTAGCAAGGAAGAACTCAACAACTACTAAACCAAAGAAACTCCACTTTGTTAGCATTGAGTTACCCCCGACTCACGGCAACCCCATGCGCTACAGAGTAGGACTGTTCTATAGGGTTTTCTTGGCTGGAATCTTTATGGAAGCAGATTGCTTAGTCTTTCTTCTGTGGTGCTGCTTAATAGGTTTGAATTGCTAACCTTTAGGTTAGTTGTTGTTGTTTGCCGTGGAGTCGGCCCCGACTCATAGCGACCCCTCCTTGGGTTTCCGAGGCAGTATCACTGTGGAAGTAGGATTGCCCAACCTTCCTTCCGAGGAGTGGCTTGTGGATTTGAACTGCCAGCCTTCTGGTGAGCAGTCAAGTGCCTTAGGCACTATGCTACCAGAGCTCCTTTTAGGTGGTAGCATAGTGGCTAAAGCACTTAACTGCTCACCAGAAGGCTGGCGGTTCAAACCCACCAGCCACTCCTCGGAAGGAAGGTTGGGCAATCCTACTTCCGTAGTGATACTGCCTCGGAAACCCAAGGAGGGGTCGCTATGAGTCGGGGCCGACTCGACGGCACACAACAACAACAACAACAGTGGAGTGCAAAGCATTTCTGGCACCCTGGAACTTCCTAAGATTACTATGGTTATATTAAATGACTCAAGACTCATCTTGATGAGGCTGTGATTGACAAAAATGGGGTGATTTGCACTTCATTAAGCCAAGGATGAAAACTCATCAAATATATGAAAATCTGTGAGTTAATAAAGCCTATTGATAACCTTCAACAGATGATGGGAATAGATTGATTATTTTGAAAAACTGGTAAATGAAAAAGAACCAAGTATTCTGCCTTTCCTATCTGAACTTACCACTGAGTAATCAAATAATAGATGAGGGGAAGCTTTGCTTTATAGACATAGCCTAGCTAATAAATGTAAAAGAAATGAAAAATGGAAATATCACTGTTTTTGCAGTTCCGAATGAATTAACAGATTGAGCAACATTGGGCAACAATAGCTATTAGCATCATAAAAACAGAGAGAACCTGACATTATGAGCCCCCTGACAAAAGAACATAAAAAGGGTGTGAATACAACTCTGATGACCCTCTGGATGCAGCTGCCAATTTTCAAGAAATGAAGTGGACAGAGAAACATTGTGAACTGCACTAGGAAGATGCAATGTACAAAACCCAGAAGACAGGAAACTCTACAGGGCTAATGTCCTGTTTTCTCAAAAGGAAACTGTAAGTAAAAGAAAAGAATGGAGAGAAACCTGCAGACTAAAAGACTTCAAAGAAAGGGTGATGAAAAAATTTGGATAATGGTGATGAATGCACAGCATGGTGGACATAATTAAATGTCACTGAACTGTATGTTTAAAAATGGTTGAAATGGCAAATGTCTTGTTATACAGGCATACTTTGGGGATATTACAGGCTTGGTTCCAGACCACGACAATAAAGCGAATATCTCAATAAAGTGCATCACATGAATAATTTTTAGTTTCCCAATGCATATAAAAGTTATGTTTACACTAAGGGGTTCTGGTGGCGCAGTGCCTATGGCATTTGACTGTTAACCAGAAGGTTGGTAGTTCAAACCCACCAGCCACTCTACAGAAGGGAGATGGGGCAATCTACTTACGTAAAGATTTACCACCTCAGAAACCCAATGGGGGTCCCTATAAGTTGGAATCGAGTCAATGGCAGTGAGGTTTTTTAAATTTTTTTATTTTTGAGTAGTCTATTAGGAGTTCTGGTGGTGTAGTGGGTAAGGCATTTGGCTACTAACCAGAAGGTCAGCAGTTCAAACCCACCAGCTGCTTCGCAGAAGGAAGATGGAGCACAATCTCTTTTTGTAAAGTTTTATAGTCTTGAAAACCCAAGGGGGTTGCTATGAGTCAGAATTGACTTGGTAGCGGTGGGTTATCATGTCAGTTTTTTGGTAGTCTATTAAGTATACAAATAGCACTATGAACAGGTTTGAAATATTGTGAGAATGACCAAAATGTGATACAGAGACACAAAGTGAGCACGTGCTGTTGGAAAAAATGGTACTAAAAGACTTGCTCAATGTAGGGTTGCCACAAACTTTCAATTTGTTAAAAAAAAAAAAAAAAATGCAGTATTTGCAAAGTGCAATCAAACGAAGTACAGTGAAACAAGATATGCTTGTTTATATGGTTTACCACACACACACAAACCAGTTAAAAGATATTCCAAATTAAAAAATGAACAAGATGGACACTTGGGTGGTAAAACTATAAAATGAAGTGATTAGTATAAAAATCAGGACAAGACTACTTTTCAAGGAAGGGAGGCAGTCAGACTTAGAGAGGCCACATGAGTCCCTCTGAAAAGTTCTATTTCTTGACTTGGTGGTGGTTTCAAGGGTATTCAATTTCCAATCATTTACTCAGCTATTAATTTGTTTTATGTGGTTTTTCTGTATTTGTGTTTTATTTTACTATAGAAAAAAAAGGAAAAGGAAAAATACTGATTAGATGCAATTGATCATGATTGTTTTGAAGATGAAGGACCAAGGGAAAACAGGGCTAACTGCCTTGTTAGGTGAAGGAGGATTCTATTTCCTACAGACAAATCTCAAGGTTTCTAGGCCTTCAGCAAGGACCTGTTATTTCCTGTAAGTCTAAGAAGTGGCATTTTTCCTTTGAAATGATTTGTTGTCTCAGGTTTTAAAAAATAAATTTCGTAATCAGGTGGAGACTAACAGTCATAAATCACTGCTGGTTCTAAATACTATAATTTGTAGGAAATACAGCCTTAATTGGGAGCTCTGGTAGTGTAGAGTCTAAGGCACTTGACTGCTAACCAGAAGGCTGGCGGTTCAAACCCACCAGCCACTCCTCGGAAGGAAGATGGGGCGATCTACTTCTGAAGTGATACTGCCTTGGAAACCCAAGGAGGGGTCACTATGAGTCGGGTCTGACTCGACGGCACATAACAACAACACCGTACCCTTAATTAAGGTGTTCTGGTGGCATAGTAGGTAAGGCATTTGGCTGCTAACCAGAAGGTCAGTGATTCAACTCACCAACTGTTTCATGGGAGGAAGATGAGGCAATCTACTTCTGTAAAGATTTATAGCCTTAGAAACCCAATGGGGGTTGCTATGAGTCAGAATCAACTCAATGTCCATCGGTTTGGTTTTTCTTTTGGTATACCTTAATTAAAATTTTTATCTATGCAAAAGGAATCTAATAAAAAGACTAACTCACACATCACAAAAGAAAAGGTAAAGTACAGAAATAGTATAATAGCCCTTCTAAAAAGAGCCTTCCATGTAATTTACATTACTGAGTGACTCAAATGAATGATTTGACTCTGAAACAAGATGTCCTTTGGTGATGTGCTCCTTCAGGACAGATGCTTCTAGTCACTGAGTGTGGAGCTACCTCAGGTCCCCGAGAGCTGAGAACAGCAAGTACAGTGACTCCCCACAGTTGCCGTTCTGATGGCTATGTCTGGTACTCCTTTATCTGACCACAGAACAGAAAGAAAAGCACCAGCCCATGAAATTAAAAGCAAAAGGGGTTCTGACACAGGAGGGGCTGAGGTAAAATAGTGACATCCAACCTGATGAGTGGTTCTAGGTTTTAACTATGAATTCTTCCCTCCCTCCCTCCTTTCCTTCCTTCTTTCCTCTCTCCCTCCATTCTTTTTTCCTTCTACAAATAAATATTCACTGAGCATCTCCTATATCTAGACACTGTTCTATAGGCTCTGGAATGCAGCAGTGAGCAAAACAGGTAAGACCCTGTCTCCACAGAGCTTACACTCTAGTGAGGGCAGATAATTATCAGAATAGATAAAATGTCCAATATGTTAAATGGTGTTAAGTGCTATGGGAAACAATAACAACAACAAACCAGAAAGAGAGGATCAAGGGTGGAAGGGTGTGAGGTTGCAATTCTTAAACAGGGAGGCCAGGAAAGACCTCCCTGAGAAGGTGGCATTTGAGTGAAGGCATGAAGAAGCAAGTCAAGGGATATCTAAGGGGAGAGCTTTCAGACAGAGGGAAGAGCATATGGAAAAGCCAGAAGAGGGAGTGAGCCTGTCCTGGTGTAAGGAGCCGAAGAGGCCAGAGTGGCTGGACTGGATGAGTAGGGGGCCAGTAACTGATGAAGTCAGAGGGGCAGTGAGGGCAGGGGCACATCTTATTGAGCCTTGAAGGCCACTGTAGAGTATTTGAATTTTACTTTGAGTGACATGAAAGTGAAAAGCCATTACATGGTTTTAGCAGAAGAATGGCAAGATCTGGATGGATACTGACTGAATTGGAGAAGGAAATGGTACATAGTGGTTTCCTAGAGGTGACAGATTTCCACATTGTAGTCTTATTACTAGGACTGCTTCTGTAATGAAAATGAGGGGTAGATATAATTTTTAAACTCACTGCCATTGAGTCAATTCTGACTCATTGCAACCCTATAAGGCAGAGTAGAACTGCCCCATTGGATTCCAAGGATATAAATCTTTATGGAAGCAGACTACCTCATCTTTCTCCCATGGAGAAACAGGTGGGTTTGAGGCACTGACCTTTAGGTTAGCAGCCTAATGCTTTAATCACAGTGCCTCTAGAGCTCCTTGATATCATTTTTAGGATAGCCTAAAACTTACACTGCCTGCAGCTGTCAGACAACCCTCTCATCCAATTTTTTCTAAAAAATAGCAATATCTGACTGAAAAATCCCAGTCTATTAAAAAAAAAAAAAAGACCACAAAGTATGAGATATAAATAAAAAAGGAGGCGGCAAAATGGCTTCTTGTTGTCCCAAATAAATATCCATTTTTAGACTTTGTCAGCTTTGCACAAACACAGGGAAAAAGACTCACCTCGGCCAGTGCCAGGGCAGAGAGGGGCGTGTCTTCGGCAGGTTTCACTACTACAGAGCAGCCGGCTGCCAGGGCGGCCCCCACCTTCCGAGTAATCATGGCACTGGGAAAATTCCACTAAGGACATAGGAAATAGGTTAGAGAAAAGGCTGCCCCACTAGTCCAAAGGAAGTTAGTCAATACATTTTACTGCACAACTGACTGGCAAAGCTGTTCTCTGGCTCTTGCACAGGTGAGCTCTTAGAACACATCTGTCACCTGCCAACTTGAGAGGCTCAAGAGGCAAAGACTCATAAAGACAGGAAGTATTTTCAGAATTTAATGCAATACAAAATCATCTATACCAGAGGTTAGAATACCTTTTTTATAAAGAGACAGATAGGAAATATTTAAGGCTTTGGAGGACATATAGTATCTGGCACAACTATTCAAACTGTATGGTTATAGCATGAAAGCAGCCATGAATAATACATACATGAATGAATGTGGCTATGTTCCAACAAAACTTTATTTACAGAAACAGGCAGCAAGCTGGATTTGGCCTGTGAGCCATAGTTTAATGGCTTCTGAGCAACATGCTTGGGAGAATGTAACAGCAAAGGTGATTTTAAAAATAGCAGATGATTTATTATTTTCTTCTCTACACATACTTATACATACACACACACACACACCTACAAGAACAATATTTTAATTTATTATAACAATATATAGCACATATTATGTGACAGGCACTGTTCTGAACACCTGGAAATTGTAATTAATTAAATCCTCATCATAACCCAATGAAATCAGTATTATCGTCTTCATTTGCAGATTTGAGAAAACTAAGACCAGTTAAGTAACTTGCCCAAAAGTCACACAACTAGTAAATAATAGTTCTGAGCCTACCCTAGTCTATCTAGGGAGTAAGAAGGTGGCATCTCTAACTACTCTGAGCAGGGAAAGAAAAGTGGTTTTGAGCCCAGCTGGCAGATACTGTTGTTGTTATGTGCCATTGAGTCGGACCTGACCCATAGCGTCCCCACCTTGGATTTTCGAGGCAGTATCACTATGGAAGTAGATTGCCCCATCTTCCTTCTGAGGAGTGGCTGGTGGGTTTGAGCTGCCAGCCTTCTGGTTAGCAGTCAAGTGCCTTAGGCACTATGCTACCAGAGCTCCCAGCAGATACTGTAGAGAAGTTAATACGAGATCAAGTAGCAGGTAGATCCAAGAACGGCTGGCTGGTCAGTGAAAAAGCTGGGCACACAACAAATATAATGCAACCCTTTCCAGGCAGACACAATATCTTATTTCTTAGCTTGTTCCTCATAAAGAACCTGGCCCAGTGCCTGCTGGGTAGGAACATAAATGCTTAGTTGTTGATGATATCCATACATTAAGCATACACTCTTACAAAATATAGCACAGTAAAAAATGTGTCACAGATGACCCTTAAAAACATTATTCTGTGTGAAATAAGACTGTCACAAAAGGACAAATATTGTATGATCCAACTTAACATAATCTAGAATAGGCAACTGTATAGAGACCAAAATTTACTGGTGGCATTCAGGGGAGGAATAGAGGCGGAAGAGGGAATCATTGCTTAGGAGGCACTGAGTTTCTGTAACGGTGGTGGAAGAATTTGGAAATGAACAATGATGATGTTTGTACTACATGATGAATATAATAATGTCACTGAGTTATATGTGTGAAAAATGCTAGATTGGCAAAGGTTTGTTATATATATTTTTACCACAATAAAACAATGTCATTTTGAAGACTAAGGTGTGCCTGACCCAATCCATGGTATTTTCAATAGCCTTGTACACATGTGAGAGGAAGACTGGAAAAAAATTATGCATTTGAATTGTGGTGTTGGTGAACAATATACCATCGACTGCTAGAAGATTGAGTGAATCTGCCTTAGAAAAAGTACAGTCAGAATGTTCTTTAGAAGTAAGAATGGTCAGACTTTGTCTCTCATACTTTGGTCATGCTATTAGAAGGGACCAGTCCCTGGAGAAGGATATCATGCTGGGTAAAGTAGAGGGTCAGTGAAAAAGGGGAAGATTCTCAATGAGATGGATTGAAACAGTGGCTGCAACGATGGGCTCAGGCACAGCCATTACAGTGAGAATGGTGTAGGACCAGGCAGTGTTTTCTTCTGTTATACACAGAGTCACTGAGTTGGAACCAACTCAACAGCACCTAACAGCAAAAAAAGTAGGCTTTGGAATTTTCAAAAATGTGTCTTATCTGAGTCTTTTAGAAAAATGAGAAACACCAGAAGATTTTCTCAGCGGTGCTAGGAAATGCCAGGAAAAAGCCTTTATGCCAAGTCAAAAAAGCCCTCTGGGATTACCCTACTTTCATAGGCACTGGAAAACACATACTCCCAGTCACTGCCACCACACCTGATGTTAATTATTCCAAAGGACCAGGATATACACCTGTGCACCCAGCAAAAGAATCAGGAAACCAAGAACAAGTGACATAGATAACAGGATGAGTATGTACAAGGAAGAATGAATTGTCTCCTGTGTCCCAAACCTATCTCTACATCTTGCTGATCTTGTCACATACCGGGGTGATGACTGCAGCTACACCCACAGGCTGTTTGAGGACCAGGGCCCTCTTATCTTTTGCTGCAGTATAGATGATATCTCCATATATGCGGCGGGCTTCCTCTGAAAACCACTCTAGGAAAAGGGCGGAATAGAGAACTTCTCCCTGGGCCTCCTTCAGTGGTTTTCCCTAAATTAAACCAGAAAAGGACACATATATTATCTTCTCCAAAAATGGAGTCTCTAGGTGATCAGGCTGCTAACTAAAACTTTACAGGTTTAGATCTACACAGAGGCCCCTTGGAAGAAAGGCCTGGCAATTTACTTCTGAAAAAGCAACCATTGAAAACCCTATGGAGCACAGTTCTACTGTGACATGCGTGGGGTCTCCATGACACTCACAGTGTTCCCGTGAGTCAGAGTTGACTTGATGGCAACTGAATGAAAAGCATGACTTGTGCATCTAAATTCTTCTAGGTGGCAAATACCATAAGAGTTTACCAACCAGATGAGACTATTACAAAATCCATAGGGTTGTTGAGAAATTCCTAACTTTGGTGTGAGTGTTAGAAAGCAAAATGACAGATAATAATGGATATAAGCATGGTTATACCACCCTAAACCACAACAAAGTCATTTGCATTCTCAACATGCTTACAGGAGTTCCGGCAAGATGGCAGACCAGGCAGAAGGATTGCACAGACCCTCTTCAACAAAGAAAAGGGAAACCAATTAACACAGACACAGAAGATAATCGTGGACCCCTGAGCCTTGAAGGGAAGGATACAGAATTGGACTACACCCCAATTAGCAGAAGAATTTGCGTGAAAATACCAAAAAAAGGAGACATACGGAACTGCGGTCTGACAGCGAACGGAGTGACCCTGACAGTACAGGCGGCTCGGAGGTCCCCGACTGGTGCAACCCCAAGGACACTCGGGGCCTGCAAGACTGAAAAGTTTGTGTCTAACTGAGTGAAAGACAACAATCCGCATAAGAGACAACTACACCCACACCTCCTTTGACTTCACTTACTGAGCAAGAGCCACCTCCTCCTTCTCCAGCAATGGGCCAACCATAAAAAACCACCAAGAAGAGCCTGAACCATCCTTGGCTGCTTTTCATAAACAGTTAACAGAGATCTAAATACAACAACATCACGATGCCTCGGAAGCAACAGACCATCACAGTCCACACAAAGAAGCAGGATAAAGTGGTAGAAACAAGGGAGCAGGATACAGACCCAGAATACATCCCTGAGGAAGAAGCAGCATTGGCACTCTCTGATAAGGAATTCAAAAGAATTGTCTTTAGGTATCTTCAGAGGATTGAGAGACAGAACAAAGAAAACACAGAAAAAACCTTACAAGAATTTTGGAAGAAAATACAAGAACAAAATGAAAAATTAGAAAAGATTCTAAATCTACAGATAGAAATCCAAAAGATTAATACTAAATTGTCAGAAATAGATAACACATTGGAAGGGCAAAGGAGAAGAATTGATGTGCTGGAAGACAGAATTAATGAGATGGAAGAAAAATACCTGAATACTTCTTTGCAAAAGGATCAATCAGAAAAAAAATCAAAACAAAATGAAGAAAGCCTAAGGTTCATGTGGGATACCATCAAAAGGAATAACTTATGTGTCATTGGAATTCCAGAACAGGAAGAGAAAAACAAAACCACTGAGAAAATTGTCCAAGATTTGCTGGAGGAGAACTTCCCTGAAATGATGAAAGATGAGAATATATCCATTCAGGAAGTTCAACAAACCCCAAACAGGATAGACCCCAAAAGAAAATCACCAAGACACATCATCATGAAACTGACCAAAACCAAAGACAAAGACAGAATCCCGAAAGCCGCACGGGAAAAACAAAAAGTTACCTACAAAGGACAGCCAGTAAGAATAAGCTCTGATTTCTCAGCAGAAACCATGCAAGCAAGAAGGCAATGGGATGGTATATATAAAACCTTGAAAGATAAAAATTTTCAACCAAGAATTATATACCCGGCAAAATTGTCCCTCAAATATGATGGTGAAATTAGGAGATTTCCAGATAAGCAGAAACTAAGGGAATTTGTTAAAACCAGACCAACCTTACAAGACATTCTAAAGGGAGTCCTTTGATCAGAGAAAATAGCAAATAACAACCGACCATTAATACACAAGATAACATAACCCAGAAACCACAGCTATGGACATATCCAAAGTAAAATGAGCTTACAAGATTGTAAACAGGGAACCAGAGATAGCAATTGGCAAGTGAAGACAACTACAAACAAAAAGAGGGAAAAGACTGTGCAGTCAACAGAAAGTTGAAAGATAGAATGGACTGTTCTAAACTCGGGGATAAAATTATAAATCATAGGGTAACCTCAAAGAAAAATTATAAACCTTCACATCACAATAAAAAAGAGGACAAGCACAAATATTCAGCATATACTAAAACAACAGCAACAACGGGAATGATAACACAAAACACCACATAACGTGGATGAACTTGGAGGACATTATGCTGAGTGAAATAAGTCAGTCACAAAAGGACAAATATTGTATAAGTCCGTTATTGTAAAACTTAAGGAAAGGTTTATCAACATGCTTACAAACTAGGAAACAACTAGACCTGCTCCTGTAATTCTTTCTGCTTTCAGTATCTTCTAAAGGTTGCAACCATGGTCTAATGTACTTTATTATATCATTGGAGGAACTAATGGCACAGTTTAGAATGTACAAAAACAGCATGAAAAAAGAACCAAAAATAGTCACATTGGAAAAAGTTGGGATGGTAAAAAAGCAGGATTCATAGTTTTCTCCCAAAGTCTATTTTCTGCATATTATTAAATAAACTAGAACATAGATTTCTTTTCTTTTTTTTTTTTTTTTTGGCAAGTCTGAGTAACTTTAGCAAGTTTGTGACTGGCATGTTAATTATTTGGTATCTGATCACTGGATAAGAAATCCACACTTTCTTCAACTACAGAACAGCACTGAAGGGAATTGCACTGGGCAAGGGGGACAGTGGGCAACTCCCACCTTCATTGCTAACTGTGTGGTAAGGATCAGCACGAATCCAATTCCCAACGTGTGGAAATGGATCCAGTCGTCACTTTCCTGATGCTCCATTCTTGTCCCCAGTTGCTCACAAGGCACACTTACTCTGAGTCCCAGACACATAGAACTGGGTCAGAGCTCACAAATTAGACGGGCATGTCTTTCAGCCCTAGCTATCCAAAGCTAGGCCAGAGCTCACACATGAAAAGAACACCTTCTTTTACACTGCCAAGTAAGAAGATGCCAGCCTCTGCTGGCTCTCGCCACCCTTGTGGGTTCTTTAATTCTTAATTCGCTGGAGCAACTCAAAGAACCTCACAGAGAGTCTATCAGACTACAGATGATGTATGTAAACCAGAAGGGTACAAAGAAATGCAAAGGCTGGGGTCTGGAAGGGGTCACAGTGCAGAGCTTCTGTGTCCCAAAGACGGACACGCTGCCTTCTGCTGTGCCTGGTCAATAACCCGGAAGCTCCATCTGAGCCTCAGCGTTCAGGGCTCTTAACAGCCTTACCACGTGGCCATGATAGATTACATCATGCCTTGTGAGAATTAGGCATCATCTGGGCCTCAAGGTGGTCCTTCTTAATGGAGTCAGCCTCCATTCATTAGCCTCAGGTGTTGGTATGGCTAGAAAGACTCTACAAAGGCCAAATTCCTTTCAGCAAGGTAATTCCACACCTTGTAGAAAGAGGATTTCTCAAACTTTAGGCTAAAAATCCCTGAACAGTTTCTTAGGGTAGCAAACCAGGCCCCTGCACTTACATTTTCAGCTGTGATTATCTTGGCAAGGTCATCCTTATTTTGTATCATTAAGTCATACCATTTCCTAAGTAATGAACTCCTCTCCTGAAAAAGAAATAAAAAGGTAGAGAAATAATGATATGCCAAGTGTAAGACAGACAATTAAATAATCTTCAGTTTCATAAAATACTTGTTGCATGACCTTATTCCGGGGGTTGGGGTGGGGGCATACATTGGCACTTCTCAGATAAATAATAACAAAATATCAGTTTCAAGGTGGATCTATAGGTATGTGGTTAGTTGCTGTTGAGTGGGCTCCAACTCATGGCTCCACCCATGTCAGAGTAGAATTTTGCTCCACAGGATTTTTAGTAGCTGATTTTTTGAAAGTAGGTTCCTAGGCTTTTCTTCTAAGGCACCTCTGGATGGACTCAAACCATCAGCCTTTTGACTAGCAGCCCAATGCCTTAACTGTTTACAGCACCCAGGGACTCCTACATGTACAACAACACATGCAACGCACTGCTGTTGAGTCGCATCCGACTCATAGCGACCCCCCTTGAGTTTCTGAGGCTGTATCACTACGGAAGTAGATCGCCCAACCTTCCTTTGCATATTATTACTTTTGGTAAGTATGAAGAACTTTAATGTCACCACAAATATAAAGTTCTCTGTATTAATGACTAACCAAAAAAAAAAAAACAAACTCATTGCTGTCAAGTCAGATCCAACTCATAGCGACCCCTCCTTGGGTTTCCGATATGGTATCATTACAGAAGTAGATTGCCCAATCTTCCTTCCAAGGAGTGGCTGGTGGGTTTGAATTGCCAGCCTTCTGGTTAGCAATCAAAATCTCTTAGGCACTATGCCACCAGAGCTACCTACTGCAAAATGCAAGCCTGGCTTGTCCCTCTGATATTCTAACCCATTCAGCAGGTCCAGAGATTTTGACTCTTAGTCTCTTTGTGAGCAGAAAGGCTGAGTATGTGCAGACACCATTAACAGTCTTTCTCTGGGTTATTTCCTTTCCCTGTTTTGGACAGGCTAATAAAATGTGTTTTCTTGCCTCTCAAGGGCATAGTTGAAATTAAACCTTCTAAATCTCAAACCCCCAGATAAGAGGTATCTGTATCTCTAAAACAATATAACTTCGGTAATTACATTGTGTAGGAGCTCTGGTAGCGTTGTGCCTAAGGCACATGACTGCTAAGCAGAAGGCTGGTGGTTCAAACCCACCAGCCACTCCTTGGAAGGAAGGTTGGGCAATCTACTTCCATAGTGATACTGCCTTGAAAACCCAAGGAGGGGTTGCTATGGGTCGGGTCTGACTCAATAGCACATAACAACAACAAATTACATTGTGTTTAGCTTTGCTCTGTGCTGTACCAGTTGAGAATCTGATGACTACAGACCAGTATGCTCCAGGTTATTCTGGGTAAAAGATGGAAGTCTAAAACCTAGGAAGTCTCATTGAGAGAAAGAAATCACGTTTCTGAGTAAACGGCCTACTAGGAATAAAGTATCTGTATTAGTTTCCTAGGGCTGCCATAGCAAAGTACCACAAACTGGGTTACTTTAAAGAACAGAAACTTACTATCTCATTGTTCTGGAAACTAGAAGTCCACATTCAGGGTGTGAAGGCTCTTGGGAAGGATCCTTGCCTGTCCTAGCTTCTGGTGATCCCAGGCATTCCTTAACTTATAGCAGCTTAACTCCAATAGCTGCCTCTGTAATCACATGGCCATCCTGCCTCTATGTCTCTGTGTAACTCTTCTTCTCGTTTCATAAAAACACTTCTGGTGTTAGATTTTTTTTTTTAAATTGCCATCACTTCATTCCTTTTTATGACTGAATAATATTCCCTTGTATGTCTGTATCACAATTTGTTTTTCCTTTCGTCCAATGATTTATATTTGAGTGGTTTCACTTTTTGCCTATTGTGAATAGTGCTACAAAGAACATTTGTGTACAAGTATCTGTTTGAGTCCCTGTCTTCAATTCTTTGGGGTACATACCTAAGAGTAGAATTGTTGGCTTATTTGGGAATTCTGTGTCACTTGTTGAGTGACAGCCAAACTGTTTTCCACAGTGGCTGTGCCATTTTGCATGACCAGCAATGGAAGAGAGAGCCGATTTCTCTACATAGTACTAACACCTGTTGTTTTCCTTTTTTGTTTGTTTTATTATAGTCATCCTCAGTGGGTGTAAAGTGGTATCTCATTGTGGTTTTGATTTGCTATCTTAGTTAAGTAGTTCTGCTGTAACAGAAATAACCACAAGTGGATGGCTTTAACAAACCAAAATTTATTTTCTCACATTTTAAGAGGTTGAAAAGTCTGAATTCAGGGCGCCGGCTCTAGGGGAAGGCTTTTTTTTCTCTCTGTCAGCTCTGAAGGTAGGGCCTTACCTATTTTGAGCTTCTGCTCCTGCACAATTGTCATGAGGCTTAGCATCTCTCTTCCCTGTCTCTATTCTGCTCTGTTGTTTAATAGATTTTATACTTCAAGAGATTCACTCAAGATACTCCCTACACTAATCGTGGCTCATTAACATAAAAAGATAACCCATTCCCAAATGGGATTATAACCACAGGCATAGATATTAGGATTTATAACACATATTTTTGGGAGCACATAGTTCAATCCATATTTGCATTTCCCTAAAGACTAATGATGTTGAGCTTCTCTTCATATGTGTATATCCTCTTTGGAGAACTGACTATTCAAGTCCTTTGCTAAAAGGCATGTTATGTTGGCCTTTCCTTCTGGCCCACAAGCCCCTTTACCCTGCTCTACCTTTGAGTGGATTCAACTCATAGCGACCCATCCTTGGTTTTCCGAGGTGGTATCACTACAGAAGTCGATTGCCCCATCTTCTTTCCCAGGAGTGGCTCGTGGGTTTGAACCGCCAGCCTTCTGGTTAGCAGTCAAGTGCCTTAGGCACTATGCTTCCAGAGTTCCTAACTATTTGGTTGTTGTTGTTGTTGTTATGTGCCTTCAAGTCAAACCCGACTCATAGCGAGCCCTCCTTGGGTTTCCAAGGCAGTATCACTACGGAAGTAGGATTGCCCAAACTTCCTTCCGAGGAGTGGCTGCTGGGTTTGAACCGCCAGCCTTCTGGTTAACTATTTGGTTAGCAGCCCAGTAATTAACCACTGCACCACCAGGGCTCCTTTCTCTTGTTATTCATTCATGCTAACAACCAGGAGTATCATCTTGTACTGCTCCCTTCCCCTTCACAGGCAATCACTAATCCTGATTGTTTCTACAGTTCTTTCCATTTCTAATTTCACTGCTTTAGCCCACTGGCGATACCGGCGGTGTCCCCTAGACCAACGCAGCAGCTTCCGGCAAGGTCTGGGAGGTATTGCAGGGGCCATCTCACCTTCCCAGACCGCCTCCTCCCATAAACACACGGTCAGGCTCATCTATTTGTTCACTGTAACACTCAGCTCACTTGTAATTACGTGCTTGTGCTCTGTCTCCCCAATTGGACAGTAAACTTCATGAGACATAGGGGCAAGGGCCGTGTCCTTAGCGCCTGGCACAAAGCCGATACTCTAAATGTATTTGTTGAACGTCTCATTTCTTGTTTCCATGACTTTCCGCATAGTGTACCCTGTGGAATCGGGAAGGAGGAGAAGCGACGCGATAGATTTTACTTTGGGGCAAAGCCCCCTCTGCTCCCCAGCCAGCCCTGCCCCCTGCACCCCCTAAGCTCTCACCTTGGCCGAGACCCCCCTCCAGCTGCAGAAAGCCTCATAGGCGGAGCGCACGGCTGCGCGGGCCTCGGGCGCCCCGCAGTCGGCCACTTGGCCCAGCTCAGCACCGCTGGCCGGGTCGTGCACTGGGAAGGTGGCGGCGGCCGGGAGCCAGCGGCCGCCCACGAAGCCGTCGGTGCGCAGCAGCGCTGGGGGTAGGCCCGCCAGGCCCCTTGCGTAGCCGCAGAGCCGGGTCGGGCCCGGCGTGAGCCGCGCTGAGGGCCACCGGCAGACAGCGCGGGAGCAAAGACCGCGGCCAGGAGGTATCGGCGTAAGGCGCTGGGCCCTGCAGCCGCGCAGCCGAAAGCTGGTCGCCATGGCCCGAGCCCCGGCGGCGGTGGCGGCAGACAGCAGGCAAGCGAGAGAGCGTGCACGCCAGCGCAGGGGCCGCGGGGCCGCGGAGTGGCGGGAGGAGAAATGAGGCGACAGAGCCGGGAGGGGGCGGTGGGGGACACCGGCTGAAGGTTGCTAAGACGCAGAGCAGCGCCCTCTCCCGCGTCCTTCGCGCTGCGCAGCGGCTCGGGACTCTCGACTTTGCCCTGAGCTTAATGGTACGACCTTTTCCCAGGAAGATTTGGGACTCCCGCTGGGGAAGGGTTGCTGGGGAAATGCACCTGCGGGTCCGTCGTCATTTATTCCCTTTGCGGGTGCTCACTTGTCTGTAACTATTAGTACCTTAGCCCACAACCTCAGGGAAAAAAGGTTATTTACCTGTGGGAAAACTGGCCCTTAAATCCGATATCTCCTTAGCTAAAGGAATCTGGTCCATAGATGCGTTGGTACTTGCTGCGACTTCCAAGGGCATGATCACCTTTCTCCATTGTTGCAGCTGAAAGATTTGGAGGGAATGTGCTACCATCGGCGATGTGCTACCAGAAACTTTTTGGGTGTGTGTCTGGGTATTCTTTCGGATAACTGGGAGCAGGGGTGCTCCTGATACGTAACATCGGGTTTTAGAGACAAACGGACTTTAATCTAGTATGTTGCCGACAGCACATTACTTAACCTCAGTCCTCCCATTTGTAAAATACAACAATGCCTGCCCATAGGTTTGCTGTGAGAAAACGAGGCATGCATAATAGAGTTCCTACATTAAATTCAGTGCAGTGTCCAAAGTCATACTACTTGTCCTGGGTCAATACATTGGTAAGATTAAAAGTTAGACTGCCAACTAATAAATGGAGCCATTTGTTAAAATTGAGTCAATCAAAGTATGTGATAAAAACAAAAGCCAAACTCACTGCCGTTGAGTCATTTCCAACTCATAGTGACCCCTCCCTGGGTTTCCAAGGGTATCTCTACAGAAGTAGATTGCCCAATTTTCCTTCTGAGGAGTGGCTGGTGGGTTTGAACTGCCAGACTTCTGGTTAGCAGTCAAATGCCTTAGACTCTATGCCACCAGAGGTCCCAAAGTATATGATGGGCATAGCAATGACACTTCATTCAATGTGTATGCTGAGCAGATAATCTGAGAAGTCAGAGTACATGAAGAAGAACCTGGCATCAGGATTGAAGGAAGACTCATTAATAACCTGTGATATGCAGATGACGCAACCTTACTTGCTGAAAATGAAGAGGACTTGAAGCACTTAGTGATGAAGAGCGAAAATAAAAAATAAAATAAAATAAAGCCTTCAGTGTGGATTACATCTAAATATAAAGAAAACAAAAATACTCACAACTGGACCAATAAATGATCATGATAAACTTTGATATTTTCAAGAAATATTGAAGTTGTCAAGTATTTCATTTTAGTTGGATCCACAATCAAGCATCAGTGAAGAAATCAAATAAAGTATTGTATTGGGTAAATCTGCTGTGAAAGACCTCTTTAAAGTGTTGAACAGCAAAGATGTTACTTTAAGGACTAAGGTGTGGTAAGGGGAGGACCCAAGAATTGCATCATATGCATGTGAAAGCTGGACCGTGAATAAGAAGGACTGCAGAAGAATTGATGTATTTGAATCGTGGTGCTGGCAAAGAATACTGAATATACTGCAAACTGCCAGAAGAATGAACAAAGTTGTCTTGGAAGAAGTACAGCCAAAATACTCCTTAGAACTGAGGATGGCAAGACTTTGTCTCTCTTACTTTGGTCATATTGTCAGGAAGGATCATTCTCTGGAGAAAAATATCATGGAGGAAAACCCTCATCAAAATGGACTGACACAATGACCACAACAGTGGGCTCAAACATAGCAACAATTGTGAGGATGGTGCAGGACTGGGCATGATTCTGTTCTGTTGTACATTGGGCCACTATGAGTTGTTTAAACCGACTCTGACACCAAGCAACAGCAATATCACCTTTAAACATTGGTGCCTAAGGCATTTGACTGCTAACCAGAAGGTTGGTGGTTCAAACCTACCAGCCACTCTGGAAGAAAGACTGGGCAATCTACTTCCATAAAGATTTACCTCCTCAGAAACCCAAAGGGGGTCACTGCGTGTTGGAATTGACTCGATGGCAGTGAGTTTAGTTTTTCGTTTTCTTAGTCAAGAATTATAGCTGGCTTAAAACTCCAGAAATAACCAGGAAACTTAAAACTTAATGAATATGAAAATTAAAATAGTAGGCCTATTCTCAGTATTATGGAGCCCAGTGGTTAAAATGCTTGGCTGTTAACTGAAAGGTGTACAGTTTGAACCCACCAGCTGCTCTATGGGAGAAATATGTGGCAGTTTGCTTCTGTAAATATTACAGCCTTGTGGATGCTGTAGGGCAGTTCTACTGTGTCCTATAGGATCACTATGAGTTGGAATCAACTCCATGGCAATGGATTTGGTTTGGTAGTTTCAATATGAAGTCCCTGGGTGGTGCAAATGGTTAACTTACTTGGCTACAGACCAAAAAGTTGGAGGTTCAGGTCCACCCAGAGGCACCTCATTAAAGCCCTGATGATCTACATCTGAAAAATCAGTTATTGAAAAGCCATGGAACACAGCTCTGCTCCACACATGGGGTTGCTGTGAGTCATAATCCCCTCAAGGACAATAGTTTTTTTGGTCTCAGCATATTTCCCCATCTCAATTCCTGTGGAATTGAGAGCCTCTTACTATCTTTTTTTTTTTTTTTTTTTTTTTAATTGATCCTATGTGGTCTTCACTTTTGTCTAGGGCATTGGATTCTAAAATTATAAAGTGCCAAGGGAGTAATTTCAATTTTGATTTTGTTTTGGTGAGTCAGAACCATTCAGTCTTGAGTCATTCTGAGCTGGCAGAAGTGATAGCAGCGGAGTTTAATCTTGTGTGTATGGATTCACTGTTTCGTTCTATATTTTGTTGAAGGATTGAGGAGAGAGAGAAAGTGTGTGTATGTCCTGAAAGCGAGTCTGGCAGTTATCACACACCAGACTGTGGAGCTGGTACATTATATCTGCAGCCTGCAGAGAGAGCACTACTGAGAGGTCATTTCTACCAGTTTGGGAAAATCTTTGAGTTCAATTGAGGAAACTGAGGCCCAGAAAGGTGAAGTCAACAGTAGCACTCATGACCCAGAAATTATTCTAGTTGCTTATCTTTTTAAGGTTCCATCTCAAATGATGGATCTCTCTTCCACTTCCTGGCTGCCTTATCCAGTAAGCGTAGTAGGTGCACTGCCTAGGGCCCACCATACTTTTAGCAGTACACAAAAATGTTTAATTTCTTTTTTTTTTAAATTTTTATTGTGATTTGGGCGAAAGTTTACAGAGCAAATTCATTTTTCATACAGCACTTTATACACATTTTGTTTCATGACATTGACTGCAATTCTCCACAATGTAACAGTTCTCTTCCCACTTCCTCCCTGTGTCTTCCCATATCCTTCCTTCCTATGTATTCCTGCCCCCCAGGCTATCTTCCTTTGCAAACACTGCCCTTCTGTTCTCCCACAATAGCTCTATGGAATGTATCTAATTGATGTATATACTCACCCTATATGCCTGTCTATTGTTTGGCTGGAAGCTGTGGGAGTGAGTTTAATCCAGACCTGAAGGATAACTAGGGGCCATAGTTTCAGGGATCTCACTAGGCTCTATCAGACCAGTAAATCTGATCTTTTTTTTTTAAATGATTTTGAGTTTTGTTCTGCATTGTTCTCCCACTCTATCCAGGATATCTTGCACTGATTCCTTTCCAAATGGTTGATAGTGGTAGCTGGGCACCATCTAGTTCTTCTGGTCTCATGGTCATATAGACTGAGGATCACGTGGTCTGTTAGTCCCTTGCAGTGATTGTTCCATGTGTCTTGGTTTTCTTCATTCTTCCTTGCTCTGGGTGAGAAGCAACCCATTGTTGCATCTACATGGCCACTGGCAAGCTTTTAAGATCCCAGTCACTACTCATCAAAATAGAATGTAGAACAATGTTTTTGTATAGTATTATGCCAATTGAGTTTGATGTCCCCTGCAGCCATGGTCCTGAGCCCACAGGTCCAACTACTCACTCCCTCAGGGTTGTTGGCTATGGCCAAGAAGTTATTATAACCGTGCCCCTTGTTAGCTCTACTATGTGTTTGGACATTCTTACAGCACATACAAATGCGTATGTAAAAATATCATCTGCCAATCTTATATATGGTCATAGGTATATTCCCTTTTGCCTAGACATACCTGATCACTCAGCCTGTCTACCCATCTATTTACCTGTAGATTAATGTTTGTTATCACTGACAACATCGTATTGTATATGTAAAAGGGTTTATCTTTGTTGTCTGTACCTCTTTTGTATCTTTCTGTGTCTTCTTCTTCTTCAGTGCCACCACATTGGTCACTTACTTTTGGTACATTGCCCTTCCCTTCACCTAAATCCATACTTGTTTCTACCTATCTAGTGTTTCCTCCCCTCCTCTCCCATCCCTGGTACCCAGCAAAAAAAGTTTCCTTCCATATATAAACCTTTTCTTGATTTTTTACAATAGTGAACTAATACAATATTTGTCCATCTGTGATTGACTTATTTCACTCAGCATAATGTCCTCCACATTATGTAGTGTTTCACAGATTCTACATTATTCTTTAGTGTTGCGTAGTATTCCATTGTGAGTATGTACCACAGTTGGGTTATCCTTTTTCTGTTGATGGGCACTTAGTTTGTTTCCATCTCCTTGCTATTGTGAGTGCTGTATGAACGTGGGTGTGTATATATCTGTTTGTGTCATGGCTATCACTTCTTTAGGATACATACCTAGTAACAAGATGGCTGGGTCAAATGGTATTTCTAATTCCAATTTTTTAAGGAATCACCATACTAATTTCCACAGTGGTTGTATAATTTTACAGTCCCAGCAGCTGTGTATGAGAGTCCTAATCTCTCCATATCCTTGCCAGTATTTGCTA